TTTTTTTTTTTTTTACAGAATGCATTAAGTTATTATAACGCTGCTCTTGAATATGGAGTTATGTCATTAAAAGAAGCATCATTTAATTGGTTGTTGGCTAATTTATTGACGAGTATTAGAAATATTCCAGATATTTTATGCTCAATCAGGTATGATAAAAAATAAAATTAAAAATTTTGCTTTAATCTTGTTTTGTAACAAAATAATTGCATATTTAAATTGAACTCATGAATATTTTTATTTAATATCAATCAAAAGTATAAATAGGTTTAAGTAATTTAAGAAAAAATATTTTTGTAGTGTGGACTTAATGACAGCTTTAATTAGCAGTCCAAATCTTTTTGTCGTTCAAACAGAGTCTTCAATCTATTATTTACTACAATTTTGGTTGTACATTATATTAAATCCAAGTAAAAAAAACTCTGGTAACAGGCAGCAAATTTTAATTGAGAGTTCTGAATATTTTCAAAAGTTATATGGTTGGTTGTTTTTTTAATAAAATTCTATTACAAATAATTATATTTCCATATAATATTTTTAACTAATTTTTTTAAGATGGCAAAGAATTTTTGCTAACGGAAAAAGGAAAAGAATTTTCCCCTCCTTTTAGAGCATTAAGAATACAACATTTAATTAATCTTTTGGATGATATGAAAAGGATAAAAAATGATAAAATAATTCCAGAAGAATGGTTGAATGAAGCTACAAATTCTGCTTGGCTTTCACTTTTAAAATTTGACCATGGAATGAGCAGAGGGTTAGTCGTATTTCATTTTAATAGCATTCAGCTAATAAAAATTTAGATCATTTGAAGTTTTTACTTACTTTTTAGAACAAGACGATGTACAGAAGAAGAAATGAATAAATTTAGTTTAAGATGTGGGAGAATTCTTCCAGATGATGGTGAACATATGTGGAGATGGACAGGTTTTTACAGCGGTCTGGATTTAGTTTGGACGAGTAAAAACCGTTGTATAAAAGTTCGAAGAAATCATAGAAATAATGATGTTGGATCTATGCTAAGCATGGCAAAAAGAAGATATGTGGTT